ACCCACCTGGATGATAACAAGCGAAAGCACAACAATAACGGTTACGCGGTAAGCTCAGCTCGTCAATCACCTACATTTATTAAAATAGTCCTATAAATGACTATTCAACCCATGACTAACTAATCATAATAATCACTTAGTCCAATTATGCTCACATAAGCATTTAATCAAGGAAATATCATTTTCGATAGTACCACATACGTTTTTCAAAATTTAACCCAGGCAGCGTTTTTAAAATCAACATAACTTTCAGTACATAACTCGGATGAATATGATTCAAGTTGCACTGTAATCCTAAGGTATGCATCTACAATTCTTATGAAGACATGAAAAGTAAATAAGGTCGTTTACTAGGAAATAAATTATTAAACATTCAAAACTGAGTAGCAGTCAAAAGTCGAGAACTTGTAACCGACCAGACTTCAGTATTTACTAGCTAACCGGAGCTACAGACACGTTTTTAATGAGATTCAAAAACCATGTGATAGCTAACTCAAATTTCTACAACTTTACTGAAGACCACATTTGCAAATAATCACGTTATAGGCCTCATTTCAGAACATACATTTTGAGTATATACACAGCCACTGCATCAAAATTCTGGACATAAACCCAACTTAGAAAAATTATATAAAATCAACTAAAACTCTAAATTGCATGATTTAAACTTTTTGTGAAAGCTTATAACATGTACTACAAGTTTCATGATGATTATATTTTCATATAGCCATACTAGGATCATCAAAAACAGCCTAACATCTTAATCACCAAATCTGCCCGGATATATAAAAACAGCATGCATGTACAACTTCACAAATTCATAAGAAATTCAAATCAATTCTAAATGACTTGATTCAAAAACTAACAGATCTCTAACTTGATTAGATACAATATATTAGAAGACAATATTGACAGATAATAATATCATCGATGAGTTTAAACACAAAACATACGGTTTATGAAATCTGACAGGAATAAGGTCATGCTACAAACAACACCTTAGTAAATTAACTCCAACTAACGTTACAGAGCTCATATCAACATGTATCTTACCTCATTAGAAAGCTGAGAAAGATATCTACAACTTCTATGATGGTCATTTTTTCTGTTGAGCATTTTTAGACATGATAAATAGATCAAACATTAAGTGCACACAAGCTGCCGGGATTTTATAAAAACTGATTGCGCGACGATGTTTCGAAAATCATAATTTATTCGATATAAATCGGATTCATGAAATTCCAAAGGCTAGAGAAAGATAACAAAACGAACTACAATTCATATATAGAACACATTTTCATATAAAATAATTCCTTAATGCCATAATAGAGGCAACTTACCTCCTTCAAGAAAATGAAAAATGATGAGGAGAAATGAAAGAAGTGTTGCTCGGTGCTCTCGGTTGTTGTTTGAACTCGTATAGCTGGGGCCTTTTAGCTTGTATCCTTGAACTTGTTGATACTAATCTCTTCCTTGATGAGTGTAGGATGAGAGAAGAATGCAAACTTGCTAGTACTAGGAATTATAGTTGGGTTGAACTCAAGAACAAATCAAACATGCACCCAATAGCACAATAGTTCACTCTCGATTTCTGCTTTTGAGGAAGAGTTTAAAGACGAATTTTCTAAATCTTTGATGGAGGAAAGGCTGAGAAATGGCATTAGAAATGGCTGGTGAGAGGCTTAATAGGCCACAAAGTGGTGTAAAAAAAAAATAATAAAAACTTATGAGCATGAGGGGGACATTAGTTGACTACCTCACATCAAATGAACATGGGTTAGAATCTTGCATGTGGAAGAGTGGTTGAAACACTAAGGCTGATAGATGGTATGTTTAAATCATGTGAGGAGTAGGAGACAAGATCTTACAAGCATAAGACTAACCCATGCAAGCACATGCTAGTCTTAGGAATAAATAATAACTTGATTAAATATACTAACTTGGATTGACTAGGCTTTTGCTAAAGCTTAATTCTCCTAACTCCAGCTACTTAGACATGATTAGGACATGAATTTGTGAGAAAGAAGGCTAAGGTGGCTCAGGTTGCAACGGTTCGAAAATAAATTAAAACGGACAACAATTCGGCTTACGCGATTAAATAAAAATTCAAACGACAATTGGTAAAATAAAATCGACCGAGCTATATAATTATAATATCCATATAATAATATAATATATAATCACAAAATGAAGGAATATATAAATATTAAAACAAAATACCATTAATTTAAATAAACTCATAAAAATCTAATATTCGAACGGGGCGCTACACCATATGTAGGCAAGGCTAATCCTCTGGCCTTACTTCCGAGCTACCTCCTCCCAAGACATGAGATGCGTTCCCTAGAGAAGAAGCACCTCGTCGATTCGTATACGTGGTGTTTCATCGTTGCATTGCCACCCCGAAGGTGGATCAAACCCCATAGGTCGCTTACCCAACCAGTTGTAGTCATGCTCTATGTTATTTCCTTCTTTTTCCGCCATTGATATCGATAGGAGTTGTGTAGATTCTATGAAAAACAACATTAGTTCACTTAATTGTGGGTTCAGTAACACCAATTAGTAAAATATGAGAACTTTCAATGTGCAACGGGCATCAACATCTCACACTTATTACACTGAATATGCGTAGACGAAAAAAATCCATGCATCGTTTAAAGGAGACGAGCATTTGATTTTGGTGGAACATTGAATAAACTGGAAGACAAATACAGGATACAAGTGCATTGTATGTTTTACTCAAAACATATCCTATGATGCTTTCTCCATTAGCTGGATTGGAGAGAGTATGTTAGACTTGCTGGTCTCTACAATACAACCATTCATTACCATTTCCTCCAGCATAAAATGTGCCTTCTCTAGATGAAACATAATGTCCAGCTCACACTGCAAAATACAGACGCACAAAACTTAAAAACCACATTTATCTTTCCTTTTTTTTATTTTTTTCTATAATCATTAAACTCACCACATTTCCGAAATGGCGATCCATAGTCTCGACCAGTAGGTGAATAAATTCTAAAATTGCAAGCTCATTCTGCAAACATAGGAATGTATAACTTTAGGAGTTAAACACAATAAAGTAAATAAAAATTACATAACCAGAAATTCAGAAATGTACAACTTTAGTCATTAAACAAAATAACGTAAATAAAAGTTACATAACCGGAAAGCAGCGCGAACTAAGATGAAAAAAACCAGATCAGCAGTAAGGTGTTCTCTAAAAGTTGTTCCACTATAAGCCAGCCAGGTACTGAGCTAAGATCATTCTCGAATCCCAGCAAGCTTTAAATAAGTATTATAACTATATATGATCGAATTATTCCAATTTTACAAAATTGACAATTCTAAGGCATAATTGCTCGAGTAACAAGAAGTGTCCCTCTAAAAATAAACCAGTCAACTTACACGCGCACAATAAGGCTCAAAAGTTTGGTAACTTGCTTACCACCACTCAACATTGTAACATAAAACTAGTTTTAAATGGCTCTCAATAATTACTATTTTCTCAATATATTATTGAATTTGAAAAGGGAGGATTCTGTCAAAAATATTATTGGCATTGTCAAAAAGAATCTCCCAAAGCATGCATTACGCCGACACGCCGGACACTTCTTCTCAAGCTAGCATTTATATACCAATTTTTATTTATTACTGAAGGTGTACCATGATTTTTAATTTGATTAACAATAGGGTTATCTTCCAAAGAGTACAGCTAAATCAACTTCACTTTAAGGGGTATTCTGCAAAGGATTAAGTTCCTGCCCATATTTGTTATATATCTCTTGGCAAGTCAAAGCTATTTCCAAATATTGTGGAGAGCACTTGTCTCTGAGACAGGATATAAAATAATGCATTTGGGATACTATTAATGAATGAAATTGGAGATTATCCTTCTTAGTTTGGCATATGGTTACTGATGGGGATAGAACTTAGTTAAAACTCAAGCAAACTAACAACACAACATGGTAGTTCTCCAGGAATGCATCAAAGATTCAACCTCATTCAAAAGAAGCAAGGACATTCTTTTTCATGTTTGTATAGAGATGAACTTATTCTATTTAAGGACTTCACTCAGCTGGTAATACAATTTAGAAAAATTCATCCGGGATCAAGAATGAGGACCACAATTATACAGGATATCAAACAAGTCGGCCTTTAAGCTTTTGTGTCACAACTCACAAACACGAATTTAAGTATGCCACTTATGAACTTTTATCGGTGATAAAAATGCTACTTCATGGCCTAGACCTATCAACGAAACATAATGCAACTACAACATCATTATATATTTAATCTATCACCAGCACGAAATAAGATTTACATACAATCTATATATACAATGAGCTTTCTACAACGCCCGACATGAAATCTTTCAGCAAGTCTTGTATACTAATTATAAAACAAGTGTAGCAAGTGTAATTCAAGAATCATAGTAGATAATATATAACTTACTTCTTCATTGTCCACTCCAACCAAGAAAAATAGTGATGCATATCGTCTATAGATGACTTTGTAATTCCGATGCTCAACAAATGAACACTGTTCAACAAAGAAGAAACATCAAACTAGCAAACTATGAAAACCACAAAATAAAAAACTAAAATTTATTTTGATAGGCAGTGCAAGTGTTGTTTATCCAAATTCCAAAATTCCAAATGGATATTCATTTCACAAAAAGAGTTGTTCCAGATGAAAAGAAACATTGAAATTCATTAGCACATTGTGATACATGATTTGAGATTTTATATAGATAAAAATGACCTTATAATTGTTCTTTGAACGACTTCTCTGACTTTTTTTTTTCGTTTTCTCATTTAATCAAGTTGCATAACCTACCACACTAATATGTGGCTCGTGCAATGTAAGGGAAAACATATATAAATAACATGAATCGCAATTTATCTTACATTGTTAATAGTTATAATGCACTATCATTTTGTTCACATAAATATAAATAAAATATATATAGATATTCAAATATTAGTGAACATGTTCTTAATATATATACTCTCCTTTTATGAAAGGTGATACATTTTATACAAATACTGTTTCTATAATTACAAAGATTGTTTAATTAATAAATTGTGAAAATCAATTCAGTCAGTAGATAATATATTAAAGATTTTTTCTAAAACATAGATAATACTAGAAAGGATTAAAAAAAAAAAAAGTCAAAAATTATGGATACGGATGCTTTTTTTAGAAACTCAAGTTTTTGATGAATCCAACACCAAAATATTCAAGACAAGTCCGCATATTCAGCAATAAAGTAAGAATTCAAAGTGGTAAGATTGTTGTTGCTGTAAACAACAAATTCCAAAGAAATAGAATAAATCTGCAAATCAACAAATTCATTATATACAGATAAAAACACAACATATTATGGGTACATACACAAATATTATATACAGAAACATAGAGATTAAGACCTGCTGCTCGTTTCGGGCTAGGCATTTGCGGACGATTTCCCCTTCCAAAGCTCGCCGTTCTTCGAGATTTAGGTATTCATAATATTGTGCAAGACGAGTCTGACCTTGCTTGTTCACCATTAGCACAAATCTTATTCCCATCTTTGTTTTGTATTTGCTGCACTTCTTCCTTTGATTGTGAGTATTGAGACTCAAACTCAAATTCTAGTGATAATCATTATTAATTCTGATAAATAATAACGTTATTTCAGCAAATAATGTATTTCTCTACCAAATACTGAGGTTCTTTTTTTTTTTTTTTTTTTTTCGGCCTTAACCTCCTTATGAGTATTTTAAATCATAATACCTCCTAAAGTCATCAATTGTTTGCACTGCCCTTCTACAACGCATTTCCCTCCAAAAAAACCGTCATATACCTCATACGTGAGTTGTACAGGGGTAATTCATCACTTCACTTACTATCATCCTAGTGATCTCCAAAAATGAATCACATTCCCATCGATACTCAAATTCACACTCAATTAACACATTGAAACAAAACTGAATTCGGTAAGACCATCAGTATTTAGATACTCAGCATTCTTCATTACATTTGTATGAAGAAAAAAAAAAAAATACTTAAAAACATCAATCATGATCCAGAAAACAATTTACAATAGCCCCAGGACAAAGATTTGGCTTAACAGCTGTAGAGTTAAATACCAGATAATATAACCGATATGAGTTTTCTCAGGGATTTATGCAGTGGATGCAAGTCTGATCTGCTTAATCTGACTTTAGCACCATTCCAATCCCATAAAATGTTTCTTATCTATTAGAAAAAAAAAAAAATATCTCCTATTTTTTTTCTAAGAAATAACTATCTTCAACCACAGTAGCTCAAACAAACAACTTCTAAACCCAACTCTTTTAATTAACAAGCCAAGCTACACAGATGAAATTCAATTCTATTAAATCCTTTCTAAGCCTCAAATCAAGAAAAAAAGTATCCCTACAACCTTATTATTACCTCTTTAATTGAAATTTGGAGAGGTCAGCTGAGCTGGGCAGTGTCCGGTTTGGTCGGAAAGGACAGAGGCAGCAAGAGGCAATAGAGTCCGCGTGAGGAGTAGAAAAGCATTGATCAAGCACCCTTTTACATCGATAAGGTACCCATTACCTGAAATTCAATTGTCACTACCAAATTTTACACCCAACCGTCCAGTAGCTATAACTAAAGAGTATAAACAGAGTGTTGTCTGTAATGGCGTAGGTTACCAAAAACCATAAAAATTACACAAAATATAAACAAATCGAAGAGCTGAGAAAGCCGCTAAGCCATCAACTTAGCACCCCCGATCAACCAACACAAATTACAGTCTCACTCCACAAATAGAAGCCCCGTCGAAAAGAAAACAGAAGAGTAATTTTCAATTTCTGAGTCCTCGACCTCAAATTCGTATTCAATTGCAGGATTCAGAGCAAATCATAAAGAGATCGGATGATAGAGACCCGACCCAATCGAAATAATTATAAAAAGAAAAAAATAACAGCAATTGTAAATCAGAGATTGAGAACACCTACAGGTACAAGATGCGGTCGATTGAGTCTGCGTGAGGAGTTGAGTCAGAAAGAGAGATGGAGATTTTCAGCCTTTGAAAGGCCCCGTCTGCGTGAGATGGAGATGCCGAGCATGGGGAGGGACGATTGTTTTTTTATGGTGATTTTAAAAAATTAAAGTTAGATAAATAATAATAATGATACTTTTTTTTTTTATGCAAAGAAGTAGGCTACTGCCTAAGGAAGAACCGTCCGAGGATACGACACCCCGACTCTATCATGGATCAACCACATACCTACCCCCGACGGAGGACTCGCCAACGTGTAAAATCTACCCGGACCTTTAACCGCCAAAGAAGTCAAAAAATCCGCCACACAATTTGACTCCGATAACCGTGACTAATCTCCACCTCCCATTGACGACCCAATAGCTCTGTAATACTATTGAAAAGGCCACCATGAACCCCCAGAGTGAAGACTCTGTCGGACCATCTCAACTATACTATTATTATCAACTTCCACCTGCACTTTACGAGCACATATATCCCAAGTCAGCCGTAGCCCTTGAAACATACTCCACCGGCGCTCGCCATGCCCGACGAAGGATCAAAACTTCCATCCGTGTTGACCTTGAGTACCCCCTCCGGCGGAGCATCCCACGATATCCACCGCAAAACTCGTGGGCATCGCACCCCCAGCAGGCGACCACCGTCCAAGCTGCAACTCACAGTGCGCAAAAAGGAAGAAACCTCACCTAAGCATTGAGACAAGGATATGTCCGCCCCTTGAAAAAACGTGAGATTCCGCCATCTCCACAACCGCCATGTCGTCAGTCCAAAAACAGAGACCCAATCCTCGGACGCCCGACTTTAATCGCCACTCAAGTTCTGTAAAAACCACTGCCGGAAGTCCAACGAAAAAAAAACATTTCAAAATGCGCGTGGAAGCAATTTTTTCCAAGTTTCCTTCGCAACCAGAAGTCACGCAGTGCATGGAGTGATGACTCACATGCCGCCAAACAATGCGGGCACACCGAATCCGACGACATATGGCGACGATACCTGGTTTCGTTAGTCGTCAAACAGTCCCTAGCCGCTAACCAAAGAAATTGACGGACCCGCTGTGGGCCCACCCACTTCCAGATGAGCGACCAAAGTTGATCGCCCCGGCGCCCCGGAGTCGACACTAAAGCCGAGTAAGCGGACTTGGTGGAGAAGAATAACATGATTTCCCGTTATAATGGTTTTAATTTTGCTTGTTAATATAATAGACTTGGTTTTTTTTTTTTTTTT